AAAAAAAAAAAAAAAAAAAAAAAAAAAAACATCTACCAGGACTAATGGGACTCACAGATCAGGATGTAAGTAGCAACAAATGTATTAATTCAGCTCCTGAGTATTTCAAGTTTTACAGTACACATTAAAAATTATTTCTTCCATCAACACTATAAATTCAGACTGTCGGATATGTATGCATTTTGCAAGTTACACTGATTGAATGCTTATATGGGAATAGGGGTCAAAACATCTTCCAATTTGAAGTTCACTTTTGCCTTTGTCTTAATCTAAGAATCCTATATAGCATTGAACATAAAATAGATACCCCATAAAAAATGTTTTCCAATTCAATGAATAGATTTACACTCTGAGGGAAGAAACAAGAAGTAAAAACTAAAAGGAGAGGGAAGAAAGTACTAGAAAAACAGGGGATCTCAAATACAGAGGAAATGACGCAGAGGGTGGAGGAGGGATTGGGAACAAACCCAGTAAATCACCTTTCATTGTGAAGATTTAATCACAGTTTGTAACACGTTGTCAATCTGCTAAAATGAAACTTCACAGGAAGTTGGCAGAAACGGGGAAATGGCCACAGGCCAATTATACTCTTTTGTTAAATATTTCCACTGCCTTGCCTTACTTGCAGCTACCTCACAGGCTCCAAGTCAGCCAGATTATGATTTATTCCTCATGCACATATTGATTTATCAACATACTAATTTATACACAGCTGTGGACATCAAGCCAGATGGGTCTTCCTCTGTCACCCCTTTCTTTTTAAGTGAATCATATTTACTGTGGGATATAAGTAAGTTTCAGTGCAAAAACATCTTTGTATCTATTGTACAGTCATTACAGAAGCAGCTTCTGCCATTCCTCTCTAGAAATCAACCCACTTTAAAACATTCACTGGGGCCCTGGCCGGTTTGGCTCATTGGTCCATGGGTTTGATTCTGGTCTAGGGCACATATTTTGGTTGTGATTTGTCTCCGGCCCTGGTTGGGGTCGTGCGGGAGGCAGCAACTTGATGTGTCCCATGTCCCTTTCACATTGATGTTTCTCTCTCTCTCTCTTCCTCCCACTCTGAGCAAAAGTGGAAAAATGTCCTCAGGTGAAGATAAAAAAAAAACTCACTGGGGGCCTGTCATTGTATCAGGCAGATAAATCTGTGTTAATCACTGCTATTTCCCAGCAGCTAGCATAATATCCGGTACATGCCATGTGTTTTAATAATTTTTTGGATATTGACTGATTGAAAGAATAAATGAATCCTAGTTCCAACCTCTAATCCACCCTCAGACACACTGTATCTTTGACTAAAGCTAAGCCTCCAAGAATAATGCAAAAAAAGAAAAGAAAAGCAACAACAAAGAAAAAAAAAACCACTGCAGACCTAGTCCAGTGGGGAAACTGTCTCCATTGCAGCTCTCTCCCAATGCACTTCTGCATCAGCAACTCAGTCTTGCAACCACAGAGAAACTGCCAGTGCTGCTGGTGCTGCCAAAAAAAGCCAGCCACCTCTGCTGCTATTCATTTCAGCAAAACTGGAAGTGCCATACAAAGCCTGCTTCCTCTGGTTGCTCACACCTGAGTTTAAGTTTCACATGAATGAGCCTGATTGGCAGAGCCTTGATCACATTTTTGAACCCAACTGCAAGAGAGGTGGGGGATTTGAGTTGTAAATAAAGGAAAGCTATTCAAAAGATGATGAGCATCCATAAATATGACAGATGTCCACTATCTCATAGTAAAATGTGATAGGAACTAAACTGGAGCTATGCATTCAGACACAGACTTTTGATCTCATGGGACTTATATCCTTACAGGAGAGACAAACAATAAACATATAAATGAGCATAATGACAGACAGCACTAGATGCTACAAAGATAAATAAAGCTGTGAGGTAGGGTGTTCGAGAAAATCTTTTCTGGCCCTGGCCGGGCAGCTCAGTCGGTTACAGTGTCATCCCTATACACCAAGGTTTCGGGTTCAATCTCTGGTCTGGGCACATACAAGAAGCAACCAATGAATGCATAAATAAGTGGAACAACAAATTGGTGTTTCTCTCTCTAAAATCAATAAATAAAAATTTTGGGAGGAAAGAGCCTTTCTGAGATGAGCAGAGACCAAATGATGCCAGGAGCAGCAAGCACAGAGTCTCTGGGATTGAAACATTAGCAGCCAAGGACCATGTCATGTAGGCCCTTGCAGACCATGAAGACACAGACCCTGGTTGTGGACTCAGAATGGTGGCAGGGGAATGGTATGATCTGACATTTGTAGAAGGATCAGATTAGTGGGAATGTGGGTGAAGCAGGGAGACCAAGCTGATCAAAGCACTATAATCTGCCATACAGTTGGGAAGAAGGTGCTATAAGAAGGGAATCTTGAGAGACAAGTGGAAACTTTCCAGAAGAAGAGGTCAGAAGGCATCTTGGGCAAAGGGAAGAGCAGGAACAAAGACCCAGGGGCATAGAACACCCTGGCGTATCTGCAGAACTTTGAGTAGCCTGGTGAGGTTACAGAGAGGGATCTAGACACGGGTTGGAAAAGAAGGTGAGAGAGAGACTGCAAAAGGCTTCCATGCTGTGTTTTAAATCTTTCATGTCACCAAAGTAAAGTGTTGATGCAGTGATTGGGCAAAGCCTGAGTCAAAATTAGGGTTAGCCCTGGCCGGTTTGGCTCAGCGGTTGGAGCGTCGGCCTGCGGTACAGAGAGACCCGGGTTCAGTTCCCGCTAAGGGCACGTACCTCGGTTGCAGTTTGTCCCCGGCCCTGGTTGGTCGTGCGGGTGGCAGCCACTCGATGTGTCCCTTCACATCGATGTTTCTCTCTCTCTCTCTCTTCCTCTCTCTCCCTCCCGCTCTATCTGAACAAAAAACGGAAAAATGTCCTCGGGTGAGGATAAAAAAACAACAAAAAACTAGGGTTAGATTTTCCCCCAGGGAGTCCAGACCTTTCATGGGAATTTGTAAGAGGGCAGAAAGAACACAGTTCCTTGCCATTTTCACCTCTCCTCAGACTAGAGAAAACATGGCCAACCCACAGTTCTGTGCTATTATTATCAAAGCGAAGCTGGGCATACCCACGCATACCTGAAACACAGAAATCAGACAGCAGAGAAGACCTGAGTGTTTCTCCATCAAGGTCAGTTCCAGGAGAAACTGTCAAATAGACATTTTATCTTCCATATGTTCTCATTTCACTTCTGCAGTCATCTCATATTCCACACCAGATTGCCAGGTAGGATAGACATACACTGAGCCTTAAAGGAAGTGTTGGATGTGGGTTAATGAAGAGAATGGAAGAGGACAAGGGCATTTCAGAAAGAGAGAACAATATATGCAAATGCCAGGAACCAGAAAGCACCATGGCCCATGGGCAGCCAAACCAAGGCTGGAAAGACTGGTTGGGCCGGGATTGTGAAATTTTGGGACAATGGAGAAAGCAGAGAGAGTCAGCAGTCACCAGAACAATTTATTCCTAAACCAGATTCCCCAATTAAATAGAGTGACCAAAAACTAAATGCGCAGTACTTGCTTTTTGCCAGAGAGTATTTACAGGTTTGATTGAATCAACAGATAGAAGTCTATAATGTTGCCCAAGTTAATCACCATACTGATAGAGTTAACTGAGATCAGAAAGTACTCTCTCTCATAACATATATTTGGGAGTTTAAAAGTGATGTGGCCTTTATTTAATAAAATCTGGGCCAGATGCCTAACATTAGCAACATTTAGAGCTTTGCAGGTGGGGATTCCCCATGGTTTCAAGTGCCCTGGATCCTTTTGTCTTCTGTCTCTGAGGGTTTCCCACCCAAACCAGGACTCAGTCTTTGTCTTTCTCCTGCACCAGCCACCGGTTGCTACAGGTTACTTCACAGTTCTTAGGGGATACAAGATGCAGACTTCAGAAGCACTGCAAGTCTAGACAAGTGAGTGGAACTGGTTCTAAGGCCTTAAGAGGGCCTTAGCCAAAAACTATTCAAAACACGTATTCCGCCCTGGCGGGTTTGTCTCAACAGTTAGAGCATTGGCCTACAGACGGAAGAGTGTGAGAGTTTGATTCCAGGCAAGGGCACAAACTTTGGTTGCAGTTCAATCCCAGGCCTTTGTTGGGGTCCTGCAGGTAGCAACCAATTGCTGTGTCTCTCTCACATGGATGTCTCTTCTCTCTCTCTCTCCCTCCCTTGCACTGTATCTGAAAATTAATGGGAAAATATCCTCAAGTGGGGATTAAAAAAACAAAACAAAACATGTATTCCATCTGAACCGAGACAGCAAACACCATGGAGAGAAGGGAACTAGGTTAGATTTGTGCAATCTCAGCCTTGGTGGCCATACTTGACTATAAAATGCTACCAACTCTACTGTTGCCTTCTATCCCTGCCTACTCCACCAATCTCTTTTTGCACAGAATGTATCTTTACCCAGGAACCTGTGGAAGAAGATGATGTACAATTTGGGGTATAGAGATCATGTATGTTTTACGTATGAACTTAAGCAATTAATTTGTCGATCACCATCCCCTCCCCTTCCCCATCCAACTTAGGTTGGGTCCAGAAAGGAAAGCGCTGATGGCCCAGGAGCTCTCAGATGGAATCCCTTCCACTCTTGAGTTCCTCCCCTTCACTCCCTGCTTTGCGGCCCTCCCCAGCAACTTTTCCCTGTCACTCCCCCGTACCCCACCCGAAAGCTTCTCTTCAAAGACATCCTTCCGGACTCAGCGAAGCCCAGCGTGCTCAGTATCCGGAGAGGCAATGGCACCCGTTCTTATCGGAGAAAACAAAACTGCCATTTCCGAAAAGAAAGGGAACTGCTCAAGCGTTCTGGGCTCTCGGGCGCACAAGGAGGCGGAGGGGGGTCCGGAGGGGGGTCCGGAGGGGGGTCCGGAGGGGGCTCCGGATAGGGTCCGGAGGGGGTCGGAGAAGAGTCACGGCGCCGCGTATCCCAAATCCCGCCCCCACGTGCCGGCCCCGCCCAGCGCCCCCAGCCCCGCCCCGTCCCTCTGCCTGGGCTCCGTACGCCACGCTTGCTCCAGGCCCGGCTCCCGCGTCCTGTTTGGTCATTGAGGGGGGCAAGTGGCGGGAGGGGAGGCGTGAGCGGCGGAAAGGGACGCGGAGCAGGTTCGGGTGTGCAGAAGGGCCGCTCTCGCTAGCGCCGCCGCCACCTCGGTTGGGGACCCACGAGGCCGCCGCGTCCTGCCCTGAGAACAATGGGACTCGGTGCGCGAGGCAGCTGGGTCGTGTTCGTCGTGGGGGCGCTCCTGGTGCTCGTGCTGCTGAAGGCCGCCGTGGATGGCGAAGGCTCGGCGGGTAAGTGGCTGCGGGGGTCTCCGGGTCGCGTCCCGGGAGGAGGCGCGCTGCCCAGCGGGAGTTTCCAAGTTGAAATCTGGTTGTGTGGAAAGTTCTGCGTGTTTGATGCCGAACGCACCAAGCCAACCTGGAGATGACTGGAGGGGGGTTAGGGGAACTGAGGCTCCGGCTGGCCTCCCACTTGCCCCGGGGCCCCCTGCTGAAGAAATTGACTGGTCCTTCCCCTCGGTTCTTCTGCACGCGGCGATCGCGAACCTGGAGGGGTGCGTGTGACCTGTTGAGTTACCCAAAGGACGGGCCTTCAGCGGAGGGCTCAAGGTAGTTGTACCATCCTTTCCCTTTATCTAATGCTTCCTTTTGTACACAAGAGTAGGTGCACCGAAAATATGCCTACCGGTTCCTGCGGAAACAAGTCTACGAGTTCGCTGGGGAAGCTTTCAGGAGTTTTCCCGGCGTTTTATCGAATTGATTTATATTCTCAAGGTCCCACCCGCTTCGCGTTTAACTTTGGGGCTAATATGGCTGGTTGGGGAGCTTTTGGAAAACGCACCCTACCTTCTCGAACGCAGGTGAGGATTATGCCCCACTGGGAAGGGCGCCTCCTCCCCATCGTGTGCCAGAAACTGTCCGGCGCGCAAGGGGCATCAGCTGATCACAGCTGACGATCCTTACTGAGGTGATTAGTAAGGTTAGAACAAAATAATTTTGACATTTCTCACCTTTAGGAAAGGGAGTTTCTCTTTAGGCCTTTGGCCCTTTGGGGACTTTAAAACGCCCTATTTGGATAAGGCCAGGAAACGGATTTGCTGTGTAAATTACATTTTATTTGTAAACTATTATAAAAGTCAGGGTAATGGTCAGTAAACTAGGATGAGTTGCTTTAAGGGAGTCAAGTTTTTTTGTGGCTTTAAATTCTATCCACTTGCTTAGATTCCTTTTATCCAGATAAATAGGGCAGTTAGCAAAACCAGACTGTTCAGGCACAGCACCTGCTTTTGCTAGAATAATCGGAGTGAGATAATAACAACTTTTGTTTGTTTTGCTGAAATTTTTTGTTTGCTTTGTTGAGTTGTGCATGTGACAAAATGGCTTTGCAGATCTAATTTTGAGATCATTTAACTAAAGGATCAGTAAATCATGTCATATTTTCAATATTATGAAATGTTTTTGGAAAAGTGAACAATCTGGAATTAAACAGTATATCTTGGTGTTAATTTTATACCAATAATTTTTATTTATTACTTTCTGAGAGTACTTTTAAATTGTTTCTCTAATGAATTGCTGATTAGAGAAATGAAATACCCTTTTCTTTTATGTGTGTGTGTTTTGTGTGTGTGTGTGTGTTTTGTTTTTTTTTTTGCCTTCATAACAGATTTTTTTTGCCCTATTTTAATATTTACTACTTGTAGTGTTTATTGTTTAATGTCTCACTAGAGGTTAGTACTATTTTGAAAACTTGGAATGAATGCTATATTAAAGCCTTTTTTATAACTAGTATATAACCATCATAAGCTGGAATCCATTTCTACATATAATAATGTCACCTTGAAACTAATGTAAATGAAGGCTCTATAGATGATTTCTCAAAAAAGCAAGTAAATATCCTAGTCTTAATGTACAGTATGTAATCTGTAAAAGTGTCATTATTAAGTACAGTAATATAGCTGATTCTGACTAGACATTTTTTCTGTGTACCTCACACAATGCTAACTGAGGTCCATACCACATCCCATTGAATCCTCACAGTATTATCCCCATATAGATGAAACTGAGGCTTAGAGATTACCTGACTTATTCTAAGTAAAACAGCTAATACATGTTTGATTTCAGAGACCAGAATCCAAATTCTCAAATAAACATTTTGCCACATTAGATAATATTGGCTTTTCAAATAGATAATGCTTAAATCCACAATATGGTCATTGCCCAGAATGTTGTGGGAGGCGATAAAAACACTACTGAAATCTTTCTTTTAAAATATCATTCACAGTCTGTTGCATAGTTTTATAAATATCCTCAGTTGGAGGAGGTAGGGTGACTATAAACAAGTAAGCAAACAGGATAGAATGTGGTAGTGCAATGAGAGACATAAGAGAGGGGAGGAGGGAGAGACGATTACTTAGGACTCTTGGTGGCAAGCGACAGAAACCCACCTTGAACAACCTTTGGGGGAAAGAAAGGACTTTATTGATTCTTTAACGGAAAAGTCCAAGGATTAAGGTGGCTTCAGAAATGTTGTATTCAAGAGTTCAAATAGGTTGCCAAGAGATGATAATGTCTTTTGTTAATATCTATCAAATCTTGGGCAAGCTATAGTTAAACTATTCTGAGACTGCTGGGGAGTGGGGGCGTGCAGGAGAACATGTCACTCCAAATGACAGGGTCTTTCTAAAGTGAATGTCAATCTTCAAAAGCCACCATAACGGGTACCCAATTAGGAAAATGAAATAAGTCTATAGTGAGTGAGTCTTTCCACTTCATGAATTTAACTTTTTTTCTCCATTCACTGCATTATTCAGTCGAATACTTGGTCTTTCTGTCAAGTAAAGCTTTGGCCTTCTTGTACTTATGGTTGTCCTTGAGTCTCTTACGATACAAAAACAGTGCCTGCCCATAGCAGGTACTTCAAACATGTCTATTGAAAAAAGAAGAAAAGTTAGTAAAGCTAGAAATAGTCTATCATCTTACTGAAGCAAAAAATGAAAAATAGGTTGCCAGGAAATCATCCCTTATAAGAGTGACAATAGCTAGGAGAGAAAAACAGGAGATTCTTGCGGTACACCAGATAAAAGATGATGGCACGTGATAGTGGAGATGAGTGGATGGATTCTATCTAGATCTATTCAGAGGGTGGAACTGAAGTCACTTGCTTATGGATTGGATGGTGGAGTGAGGAAAAGGGAGGATTCAAAGGATGACCTCTTGGTTTGGGGATTGAACAACTGGCAATGCACCAACTGGGAAGACTGAGGAGAACAGGTTTATAGTAGAAAATGAACAGTTCCATTTTGGCACTAACATGTACAGGCTTTGGAATTAAACAGCCTGGTCTGCATCCAGACTCTGCTACGTACTAGCTGGGTGGCCTTTTCTAGGCCTCAGTTCCTGTCACTGCAAAACAATATTCCTGTCTCAGAATTGTTGGGATGGTTAGATGGCTCAGCAGTTAGAGCAACAGATCCAAAGACCAAAGGGTCACGGGTTCAATTCCAGGTCAAGGGCACATAACCTGGGTTCCAGGTGCGGGAAGTAGCCAATCGATGTGTCTCTCTCACATCAGTGTTTTTCCTCTCTCTCCCTCCCTCTCTTCCACTCTATCTTAAAAAAAAAAAAAAATCAATGGAAAAATATCCTCGGGTGAGGATTAACAAAACAAAACCAAAAAAAAAAGGAAGAAATTTGCACATGCAGTAAAGATAGATCTTTCAAACTTATTATTGTTTACCTTTCTTTGTACTTGGGGATTTTTTTTTGTGGAGGAGGGCTATCTTTGTGAAAAGTATACAATAATATACTTGCTCTCTTCCCATCTGGTGTATATATTTAATCTTCCATTATACAAAGACCCAAGATGAATAAACCAACTGAAAAATTGCTTAAATGGGGCATAGAATTCTTCTAAACCTTTTCCAAACCTTTAAGGTGCTAGTTAAAAACTAAGAGTTGTAACGCCCTGCCAATGGGCAAAGAGACATCTCATTGGTGGTGTTGCTCTTATATCAGTCAAGGGCAAAGCAGACATGCAGTCCTTAATTCATCCTAGCTTGATGCCTGTGTTGCTGGCCAGAGCTGTTTCATGCCTGGGGCACATTTTTAAAGAATTAAGCGTCATACTGGGCCCAGCCAGTGTGGCTCAATGGTTGAACATTAACCCATGCATGAAGAGGTCATCAGTTTGATTCCTGGTTAGGGCACATGCCTAGGTTGTGGGCCCAATCCCCGGGGGGGGGGGGGGGGGGGGGGGGGAGCATGCAGGAGGTGTCCAGTCGATGTTCTCTCTCATCAATGTTTCTGTCTCTCCTTTTCCCTTCCTCTCTCTCTAAAATCAGTAAATAAAAAAAAATTACACAAAAAAAGTCATACTGAGAAGGCTTTCAATTAAAAGTGAATTTATCTTTTCTACATTGTATGAAGTTAGAGGTGTTGTTGATGCAAGACCAAGGGGCATCCGTGAATAGAAAAGGACCTTCCTGTGATGTTCCACCCCACTCAGAAGATCAGGGTTGTAGTAGCAGAAATTGGTTTCTCTGTCCCCAGTCCCTGTGTTCTCATGTGAGTGAATGAATTTTGGCAAAGCTATTAGATAATTAGCCAGTGGCTGGCACATAGTAAGTTCTATATAAGTGTTTGTTACATAAGCTATGTGTTTTCTTGAAAAACTAGTAATACAGTTCCAGATTTACTGACAGTATGTTTCATAGCAATGGTGGCAAAAGTAGACCTTAGAACTTATTGCGGAATAATCTACCCTTCCCATACCACCACCATATATTGCCAGTGTTCTTAGTTAAATATTAAATGTGTGTTCATCACAGGCATTTATTTTTATAGGATTTTCAAGCAAAAAACCCTCCACACTTCTCAAAATCCCATTAGTAAGCCAACACATGACTTTAGAAAGGTTCATCTGTCTAGAATACATAAAGTAATATCAGCCAGGCAAGTACACAAAAACTGTTACACTGACCTGTTTAACCATCATTTATTCATGAATCCCTAAAGCCTACTTTAAGGGCTGCCCATAGTAGGCATTAATAAATGGTAGTCCACTGGATAAATAGCCTTTCTCAGTCTAGCAAAGATGTGAATAAATTCTAAAACTAAAACATATTAGAATTTCCTACTGCATTTTGAAGCATATATTTAGGTGTGAATGTTTTGCACTCTGCCAGTAGACATGAAATATGAATACCTAAGTCTGCTGGTCTTGCTGATGAAACAAGTTACTTTCAGTTGGTCAGCTATGGCAGACTGTAAGCAGACCCTACTTACATTTCAACCATCAGACTTCAATCCCCTTCCCCCCTATCTTGCTTCCCTATTGAAACAATTAAGACGTTTGTCCAGTGCTTTTAGTGTGGGACAAATGGATTTCTCCTTGGAATTCTGAGCTCACCAGCATGGAAAGATATAGAAACCAAGTTGATGTAAATATCAGTAGTAAACCATCAGGGCATGTTTCTTGTGAGCAATATTTAGATTATCTTTTTATTCTTTTTCTTCAGAGTTGACTGAAGTAGAAAGTAGAAAAAAAGGTACACAGATCCTATCACTAGACCCAGTTTCTCTAGTTTTATTTACTAAATATTTGTGTATCTCTAATGTGCTGACACGTTCTAGATGCTAAGGATACAAAATGGACCAAGCTCTGGCTTCTTGGGGTTTTTTCTTTCGGGGATTGGGGTGGGGTGGGGATTCATTGTTGTGCAACTTTGTGCAGTTTTATTCTCGTAGGTGTCCCAGTGCCTGGGTGGTTCATATTCCTATCTTACCTCTGTGCTTTTCATTATCTGTGCCTTTTTTCTACTGGTTGCTGGCTGAACATAGATAAGATATATTTTTATTTTAG